ACAGGAGGGAAGGGACTAGCCTGGTGGCATGGTGCGAGGACAACAACCTCACCCTTAATACAGACAAGACGAAGGAGATAATAGTGGACATGAGGAAGGAGAGGAGACCTCACCAGCCACTGTTCATCCGGGAGCTTGAGGTAGAGAGGGTGAGCGGCATGAAATATCTGGGCGTCCACATCAGCGAAGACCTCTCTTGGACACTGAACGCCACACAGCTGGCTTCCTAAGGAGGCTGAGGATGTTGTATGTATGTAACCTAAGATCCTGAGCAACTTTTTCAGGTGCACTGTTGAGAGCATTCTGAGCGTCTGCATCACCGTGTGGTATGGCAGCACTACCGCCATGGACCGCAAACGCCTGCAGAGAGTGGTGAAGACAGCTGAAAAGATCACCAGGACTCCACTACCCTTCCTGCAGAGCATTTACCATCAGGTCCACAGGAGAGCTGCCTCCATCATCAAGGATCCCACCCACCCTCAACATGAACTGTTCACACTTCTACCCTCGGGTCGGAGGTATAGGAGTGTGAAACGTAAGACTACAAGACTGAAGAAGTCTTTCTTCCTCACTGCCATCAGACTCCCAAACAGTTAATAGGCGTGTAGATTCCATAACCATGCCCATCCCTAAACTGTACCATGCCAATGTTAATTGCACTGCATCTGCACACTGCTCCATGCACAATTTCCACATGTACATAATTCATCATGTATATAATTCATCAGTTGCACAACTGTTTAATTCATTTGCCTGCACAACGACAAAGTGTATATATCTTGGATATATCTGGGTTTTTTATGTCTGATGTTCACACTTTTTACATTTGTAGCTTATTTTATATCTCTATTTATCGTATTCTTATTGTATTTTTATTTATACATATATTTTATTTTTATTGTAGGCATTTGATGTGGACAGCAAAGTAAGAATTTCAGTCTACAGGGAAACATCTGAAAATAAACACTTTGAATCATAATCTTGAATCTTACTGCTTATCTCTGAAGTCCTCTACATGTAAAGCAAGTGAGCAGTTAACTCAAACAAACTCATTAAAGTGTGACCTTAAAACAGCGTGTTCTGGTAAACACCACTCTTCTACCCAAGTTTTAAAAAAAAGAAAGGACTATTATGATGTCTCTTTCAATTAAGTGCATGTTTCCATCTCTGAGCCGAATCAGTTTCCATCAACCACAACATCCGCAAACCTGAAAAACAAAAGCCTTGCTGGCTTTTTAATAAGATGCTGAGAATCCAGAAGGATCTTTATAGTAAATGCCACAACTCATTAGGCTAATTACCCTATCACACATTTACTCCGCTGCTAATAACAAAGTAGGCAGAGAGACAGAGAGAGGGAGAGAGGAAACCACACATCTCCTCATAAAGTTAGCATTCTAGCAATTAGTGAAAAGAAACATTAGAGCCCACACAGGCTTCTTGAGTAAAATAATTAAAGAAAAATGGCAGAGATGTTGATTATCTATGCATTTTTCTTTTTAGAGTCTACAGCCCCCATATGAGCACCGTGTAGAGGCAGGAAGGAACACTGGCGGATCAGACTTCTATTAAAATAAGAGTGCTATTTGCGTCTCTTTGCATAATTTGACTCACTGTGGGAGACGGTGACTTGTGAAGTCAAATTTAATTGCGTTTATAACAAGGTAACAAGGTGCGTTTAGTCATTAGCTCCTTGCATGGGCAAAAATAATTCCAAAAATTCTAATCTGCTCTGCCTCCTCTGAATACAGAACAGCAAGGAGTTCACTTAAGAGGTACAAATAATCATATTTTAACGGCACATGCTAGTGAATCATGAGCTCTTGTTGCTCCCTGAGCTCAGCGCTGCCTCTGAGACTGTTGATCACAACATTTTAATTGGCCATCATACACATTTACAGACTCTGCTGGGTCAATATTCTCCATAGCACCATTAAACTGATAAGTAACGCAAGTTTCCATCTTATTTAATTCTCATCCTGCAGACTCTGATAATCCATCCATTCATCCATTCATCCCCTATCCTTCAGAGCTGACAGTGTGCGAGAGGCCGGGTACACCCTGGATGGGTCGCAAGTCAATCACAGCCCGGAGACATATAGATGACCACCGTGCACTCATGTACGCAATTTTATAGTGCACTACAACAGAAGATGTAATCGACATGGTGTCCAGCCACAATAAATAGAGGCTTGCTTTACTTATGGATGAATTAAACTGCTGCTGCTGTTATGTTAACACCACATCATTTCTGTTTCCACCTATTTGGGTTTGTTAGTGATTATTATTTGGTTTAAAGGGGGTACTTGTTGCATTTAATGAAATGAATCATATTATGCATCTGTGTTCTTTATCTTGTATTAAACTTCTTCTAGAACCATAGACTGAATGACTGACATAGCCTGGCAGTGACTGAAGCACAGTAGCATCGGTTTGCCTTCTCTTTCCTAACGTGGGGGTGTTGATTTCTAGTATGATCAGGGTTATGTTTACTGGTCCTTACTACAGACTTGTACTTATATTGTTCCCTACAGTCGATTTATAAACAAATCACATAAATTTCATGCAAGCTACAATAGGGAAATTGCAATCTTTCGCAATCTTAAAGTAGAATAATTTGGTTGGATTTGGTTCTATTGCCTACCACTGTGAAACATTCCATTAATTATATTTCTCTTTGTGTACAGGTTACACAGATACAGATACAGTTAATTAGTCAGCTTTAGAGGTACTGATATAAATACAAAATGCATTGCCAGTACAACTAGCAAGGCACTTATACTGTACATGTGTAAGCATGTGCACTGTCTTCCTGTTCCTTACAGCTCACTAGTTTCCAGGGCTTTACCACCGCACCACAATACACACTAGTGCACTGCTGCAAGCCCTCCTCTACTGTGCATGTTTAGAAGAGTTTTACACTAATTAATGCACCCAGCTCTTATAGAGGCACTCCAATCAAGCAGCTTATAAAGCACATTAGCATTATTAACATTAATGTATTCTCTATAGAAGACAACAAGAGAGCTGCATAGCTGACACCACACATATATAAACCTATAAATATTAAGGCCTGTCTCAATGTTACAACAATTCCTGCTGTGTTTAGCTGCTACTGTGTGCTTCCCCTATTCTTTCTTTCCTCTGTATGTGGTTTAGGGAAACAACGGGAGGAAAGTGAAGATCCAAAAAACCCATGTGGAAGTGGCTGAGCCCCCCCCCCCCATTCCACATCAAAGGCAGCCTCATATCTCAGAGGAGTTGCTAAGGACTTTACAGCAGCTCGCCTCAGGCCTGAGCGGGGGCTCACACCTCCTCAGACAGGAGCGCTGGTGCCTGCAGGTGGGACCGGAGGAGCCGGGACAGGCGGCTCAACATAGTCTGCAGTGTCATCGTTACAGGACGGGCTGCGGCAGACGGTGCAGGGCAGCTTGTGTCTCATCCGACTCAACAAATCTCGCAAGTTGTTGGTTTGCTGCCTACACCGGGGGATCGCCCAGCTCGATTAAAAATGGCTGTATTTTAAATAATTTACTTCATAAATAGATAATACAAGCTCATTATAAGGGTGCATCAATATTCTAGTGATAAGCTGAGAGAGAAGGTGCTTTTTTTACTAGAGTTTTGGGTTTCACCCAGCGGTGATTTTCTCCCTCGTTTTCTACACCTAACAAGGTAGTGCCTTCAAGGGCTTCTACATGGTAAATAAAAGAATCAAATTTGGAACAAATGTCTGTAGGGTGATCTGTTAACATCCTAAAATAAGGGTGACGAAAAAGAAAAAAAAGCCAAAAAGCATATAGTTTAGTGTGAAAATTGTCACTTCACAATGCTTTTACACAGAGCTTTCTGCTAATCCATCCTAAAGTCTTCTTACAGAAAGTGCATTAATACTTTTATGAATGAAAAAGACCAAATATTTCACACCCCCTGAATAAACAGGGATGGTTTATGTATTCATTGTGACACATATTGAAATATCATTTCACAAAAGTGCAGTAAGGTTAATTTCTATATTTGGAAGCATATCAGAAAGTAGATGTATGAGCAAACTGGTGGTTTTATTCCAAAATGAGGTCTCTACCACTTGAAAAGTGATGCTTACCTTTGAAAATGACTGTTGGCGTGAAAGAGAAATAAATTATGTTTTACAATTTAACCCTTAAGCCTTACACAAAAACAACTCTGTTTGCCCGATGAACATTTTTGATTTAAATATGTTTTTTGGTTTCCTTTAGCACTCTTGGGTGTTTATAACCCACTACAATGACTGCAAAGCATTAGACAGCATTAATTCACTTATGCATTCATTCATTGTCTCCCCCTAATAATCCGAAATCATAAGAGGCGGGAGCCTATCCCAATATACGCTGCACAGCAGTCAGAGAAACAGCCTGACTTTTGCCAGTATGTCAAATGCTTACTTTAAAGTCAATTTATTAAATTCAAAGAGAATGAGGGCGCTTCTGCTCGCCTTTGATGAGTGAAAGCATTTACTGAAGGTGCTCGTTGGTTTATGAACGAAACTAAGTGAAAATTGAAAGAGGCACCCTTCAAGTACAATTTTCAAAAGGGTTTATGTCATGGTTAGTTTCAGAGAACATTAAAACAGCACTTGTGTATGTGGACTTCATTGGCAAGTAGTACATCAAGTCAATTTAGTACAATTTCTTAAAGCCAGCAGGGGGCCAGAGAGAAAATGCAGTAATTATTTCAAAGGAAGTACAAATGAAGGGGAATTCAAGGGCAGAACTGTGCACATTTCCAAAACTAGATTGACAAGTAGCCACATTTATTCATCAAAAGGCTGCATCAAAAGTGATAACAGAAAGAAAATAGTGTTTCACTGCAGGTTGATTATGGTCAGTGCTCTATGTTAACGTGATGATTCTGATTCTGGCAGATATTGTTTTTTGGTTCAGATTTCTGCATTGTTTACCCAAGACAAATGTACAGACCCTATAATGAAGCACAAACTTCTCATAGGATTTTAAACTAACCTGTAAACGGCCCTCTTGTCAGACTCAAGCTGGGCCTGGGGGTCAAGGGTCACACTGACAGAGGTATTTCCTGCTGCAGAGGCTGCTGGGATATGGACCTGTGGGGTCTTGGTGTTCTGCTGAGTTGTGCCCGTCATCTGGGAACACATAAAACAATCACAAAATGACTTTACATTTAAACTATTTTGTTACAGTTTTCAGGTGGGCTCTTTAGCTTCAACAGTTGAAGCAGGAGAGAGTAATAAAGAAGATTAAAAATCTGCAGCCATGCTAGCAGCTCTGTGAGGCTTTACTTTACAGTATGTTACTGTTACATGCAATTTTGCATGTAAGTATTTTAACATTTGCAAAAAACACAGATGAAGCTGATGGGAATGTGACTGAATGCCATCAATACACCGAAGGGGGCACTCCAAATTTCATGGTAACCCATCTAATAGATATTTCCACCTGGTGGACTGACTAACAGACAGAAACTGCCATCCCTAGAAGTTTCATATAATGTATTACATCACATTACGTGCAAATCAAGATTTAACATAAATTCAAAGAAAGAAATCAAGGAAAGAAAATGTGTTTAATGTAAATAATATAAGTCGCAAAAAAAACAACCAATAATTAGATTTTAATTAGCTTTAGAAGAGGCTTCGTTTGCTGTTGTTTGTGTGATTGCTACCAAACCATTCAGTCACTTAAACCTGCTCCATGAACTACTGTCAATCAGATCAAATTGAAACATCACATGACCTTAATAAAAGGTTTATCAGTGATGTACAATCCTCACCTGGACTTCTTTTCCTTGTAATGAAAACGCAGCTGCTCGTGAGGTCTAAGTAATTTTTTTAATCACTTCTCAAAAGCAATAAAGTGCAACATGCATCTGATGCCAAGAGACTACAAATGAGGATGTAGCTGGAAGGAGTCATTGTTGCTTGACAGGTCAGTAGCCTTGTAAAGAAGCTGTTAAGCAAAATGAATGAGAGAGGATAGATTCAGTAATTGAACAAGGGACGCTCAGGTCACATATAGAGCCCAGTCAAATTTTCCTGTTAAACAATAAATATTCAATTAGCATTTAGCAACTGAACAGTATGTTCAAAACTAGCCATACTGCTAAACCATACATGCTCTGAAGAACCACAGCACTGACGGAGTTTCAACATAGAATCATTAGAGTCTTCTCTTTGTGTTATTTGTACTTTGTACTTGATGTTATTTTGGCATGCTTAACGAACACGATCCATTGTCTTCTTCATCCTTTACCCCACTTTCCTCTCTCATTTGTTCTCTCTGAGGAGATGAGTGTAAACCCCTCCCCTTCACCCCCCCCTTCCTTGGCTTTTTTTTCGGGGTGAGGCGGGAGGGAGGAAGCTTCAAGTCTTAATCCCAGCACCAAATGGGAAATAAATTAGCTTCTTCACACTTAACTAGCTCTCATTTGCATTTTCCAAGTGCAGAGACTGCAACTCGGGAGCTGTCCCCTGGCACTAATCCTCTGGGCAGAAGCAGACAGAGGTGGCGTGGATGAGGGTTAGGCGGTCGGATGAACCTGCTCTACTTCCCTGGTCTGAGGCGTTGGACAAAGCCTGGGTCCAGCCACAGTTAGGCTACATTAATTACACTGACCTGTTGGTGGCATCATGTGTTGTGTTGAAAACCGCAGGCTGGGGCCTTGATCTCTTGTTCTTACACTTTAATATACAGTATGTAGCACTCTTGCTCTTATGTATTAATTATAAAATGCAATTCAACTTTAATAAAAAATAATATAAATTTCATAATAAAATAACAATACAACAATATTCCTGTAGAGCCTATATGTTTGGTGGGTTTATAGCTACCTTATGACATTTATTCTTATAAGGTATCACTATAACATTATGCCTATATTATTGCTATAACATTCTTATAGACTTAAATTGTATTTGTACTAGTCACTTACTGTTTATAGTGACCTTTCTATATTACTATATTCTTCCTAAAATATTCCTGCAGTCAGTTTACGTTGATGTTCTCTACAGTGACAACATTGTAACTTTACTGTAGTTAATTTTAATGTTCTGTTTGGAGTCCTGAAGACCCAAACATGCAGTACTATGATATTATAATTTTATTACCATGACACTTACGACTTACTTAAGTTTTATGAGAATTGCTTATAAATACGATTTTAAATTGATGATATGTTTCCTTTCTCTACTACAGATAATGCCTCACTACCTGTGTTTAACCTCTCAGAGACCCCAGCTGTAAAACATGGTTATATACAATAGAAGTTCATATGCTCTGCATCTGTGATTGGATCCTTAACGCTGCACTTCCCCTCCCAAATCCCAAATACTGCGTGTGGTCTATTTGGATTTCTGTTATTGGAGTTTGATTACAAGAGATCAAACATAAAGTTTAACCTCTCTGGGGTTTTTTACGTGACCCAAAACATTGAGGTCACCATGTAAGCTTTGTCAGCAAATGACTTTTTAGCAAAAAAAAAAGGAAGATAGGCCATATACACATACACCACATATCTAAACACAAAATATTTCCTAGTATGATGTGATAACAAAGCTTTATGAAACTGAAATTTAAATCACCTGAAAACTTGGTTTTTGAATTTGAGGTACTGACTTGGCTAAATAAATAACAGTTTAGCTGAAGTTTGGGAGAAACAGGCATTATATATTGAAGGTTTAAGACTCAAAGCTAATCTCCTTAAACTAATTAACTTTTATCAGCTTATGATTCAAACTTTGAGATTACTCAATTCCGATTGCTACACAAAATATATGACATCACCGTTTTCCAGCTGAGCCTCGCCCAGTTTAAACCAGTAAGAAGAGCACATCAAACAAACACAAAGATATATCTAAACAATCATAATTTTAGTCACTTTGACAGAAAACAATGTATTAGTGAGAGGCCTTTAATATTCTTTCCAAACATGCTACATGTTGACATGTATGACTTGGTACTTCAAGCATTAAAGTAAATTCCGATGAAAGCTCTGACCTGTTGGCTCTCCTGGTACGATGGTGGAGGAACGCTCTGGGTGGCCATCATTGTCACTGCAGGTGCTGGGGACACATGTTGCATCATGGGACAGCTTCACATTGAGACTGGGAAAAACAGAAAAAGAAAACAGAAACATAAATAAAGTGCAAATAGTGATTGTAAATTCTATAAATTCTATTACAGCAGCAGCCAGCAGGTGCTGCTATGATTAAATAATAGGAGATGAGACTCTCACGCCGTATCTCACTGTTCCCTTTCACACTTCCTTTTCCCTATCTCCATTTACCATTTATTTACACCCGCCCACCCCACCCATCCCTCAGTCTCCCACTGCATGTATTGCATTGAGCTGACAGAACAGCCAGGATGATGTATTAACACTGAGTGCAATGCTACCAAGCAGAAAGAAAACAAAGTAACACAAGACTCAATTATGGACTCCTTTACAGAAATACTTCACATACCAGCAGGTTCATAATGACAACACAAACAAACCTGACTACTTGTTTACCAATTACAGACAGCTATGCTTGTTTACTAATTACAGTACACCTGGCTTTAAAGCAACGTATCACGGTGGAGTCACCTTGGTTGTCTCTGTGAGTTGGTTACTGGTGTTGTTGTTGCACTGTTACCAAGCCAATCAAGAGGACTAATTAGGGCTCTTGTTGGTGGGCTAATTGCTAGTGGCCAGGACCCCACGGGGCTGAGGGCTGTACCCTGTGGAACACCACTGTAACCATCACCGCCACCCCCACCCCCACCCCCACTGATGGAGCTAATTGGTTCAGGGGTATGTTGCACACAGAAACACAAACACACACAGACCCCCTACTATCACCACAACTTACTGTAGGCCAGCACAGCAGGTGCTCTGTCCCAAAGCTACATATAACCTATGTGTGTACATACTGTAATTTACCTATTTGACCTTAGGGGGGAAAGGGTGTTTTAATAGATGTGAGAGTAACCTTTATCAAACCTTTTATTTATCAAACTGTACTGTTAACCATTACAAACCATAAATCTAAGACCTGATCTCACGAATCGATATATAATGACACTACAAAGTTCAGTTAGGTGCTTTATACACCTATGCAGACTGTCAAATCAACATTTCTTAAAGTCCAAATGTTTGCTAGATACCTTGAGCCACTGGACTTAAAAAAAGCCTTATAATGCCGCATTAGACAGGCAGCAGTTACAGCGGACGGGTGCACTCGTGCTGAATGGTATTGACCTGGAGGAAAACACTTGATTATAAGCTAGTCAAATGGAACTGGAACATCTGAGCAAAATCCCTGAACCAGTTGCAACATTCAGAACTAACGCCTGAGGAAATACAAATGTGCAGTAAACCCACCTGACCACTAAAGGCCAGGGTTTGCAGTATGTGACTCTGAGCTGTGATGTTATGGCCCGACAAAAAAGAACTTTATTAATCAGAGGAATGCCCTGCAAGTGATGCTATATATCTAGAAATACTATAAAAGGAATATCATAAACTGATATCACAGATACACTAAGTAGGAATATTGCAGGAACAGTAATGAGATGGTGTGTTTAATTCTGGTGAGAATTAACACTATTAGAGCAGTATTACGCAGCACCCCTACTTTCAGGGCTATCAAACCCCTGCTCTATGCTCCTCCTATTGTCACACACATCTGTGTGTTGAGCCCCTCGTCTTTGGGTAGTTTTCAGGTTCCTGCCGCCAGACAGGAAGTGATGCAAACGTCTCATCCCTCTCTTCAGAATCAGGACAATACATGACAGACGTTCCCCGCCAGTGAGCTCATTCCCCGCTGAGACTCAGACCCTGGCAACGTCTCTGAGTGGAAAGTCAGAGACAAGACAACTGGCTGAGACCCTTCTCGATTTGAGTGGCATCTGGATCCACGGCTGCTGCCAACATTTTGATGTTAAAGGAAGGTTTAGTTCCATTGAAGAGTTCTAATTTGGGGTTTTAGCTGCAAATCTGCATGTTCTATCATGTCATTCTGGGTGTGCTGTGCATGCAAGTGTGTGTGTGTGTGTGTGTTCAGTGAAACATTATGAGCATGACTGTTTGCACTGTGTGTGTTCACACTTGTTTGTGTGCCATGTGCATGTCTCTGCGAGTCATTTTGTGTACTGATTGCGTCTTCTGGTTTCTGTTCTCATTCCAACTGGTATCAGCTGAAAGGCATCTTCCCTGTTATCAGGCCTCATTTTAATTGCAAATGCAGTGAGCGTGTTAGTGATTAAATGGAAAATTGCACATTAATTGATGAGACTGAAGATAAAGCAATTCCAATTACTGCACAGTATTTTAGGCGGCCTCTCAAGTTTTGCCATCCCTCGAAGGAACAAGTCACCAAACACCAAATTTGAGCAGGCAATCGTGCGTCCATAAATACACACCCACAGATATAATAAGCGCACAAACACATGCCATACCATGGCTGCTGAAGCGTGAATGTACATACAAGAACAGACAAGAACACAGCAAAAACACCAACAAACAAGGCATTTAATTTCAATAGTGAAATTAAACACCAAAAAACTTGCCTCATGAAACTAAGTACAAAGTACTGAGTACAAATCTTCCAAGTAAAGGAAACTGTCTGGCAACCTCTCTCTCTGAACTCACCAAAGGTGTACGGTTACACAATAAGTCGTAAAATTCATTTTCAGGACAAATGACATGTTTGTTCCTCAACAAAGGCCTTTGAATTATTACAGAGTTCATAATGCATATCAATTGAAAAGTGCCTGTAGTCGCAATCAAAATTCAAAAGCAAGCATAAAATGGAAAATGAGAAGTAGGCATAAAATTATTCCAACAAACATCAAAGGGTTTTGTGAATTTGGATTGGAGGCAGGCGTACTCTTTCATCGGAATCTGTGCAGCAAGAAACCCTTCTATTCAGCATTCAATTTTCCAACAATTCTCAGGCATAGAATGAGCCTCTGCCATATTGATGTAAGGTTAGTCAGTGGCATAGCTGCAGTTTTACCGCTGGCACTGAAATGAAAACCCCTATCTGGTCACATATGACGTGATCACAGCCTCTGGCCTCCACAATTCAACCATGTCCAAAGCTTTTTCTTGGCTGCCATGGTTTGAAGGTAAATTTATTGGACAATGTTGAACTTCTATCACAGTACATGTGGAATGGGAAGGCTTCCTGCTACAACCCAAGGTGATAAAAAGAAAACCCGATCCTCCTTGTAATTTAATCACAGAAAGCATGGAAAACTGCACTCCAGTGCACATTGTGACCTGGCAGGGTTTTTACACTAGTTCATTAAAAGCAGAGTTGTTGCAGACAAAGATGTGAGTCCCCCATGTTGAATCATCAACACTTCAGGTGACGGGACTGACAGAGACACACAGGTGTGGACCACAGCTACATCCAGTCCTCACGTATCAAATATCCACGCTGGTGAGTTGGCTGCTTGATGAACCGAAACTGTGATGTTCTGATTTCTATAGCGCTCTTGAGCACAACTCAAATCACTCTCCTACCAAACCAAAGATGGGTGATGATTTGAGTGGAAGGGATGTAGTATGATGAGTGTTTACATCCCAGCATGCTAGAATTAACTTGAGACAACAGCCAGGCTCTGTGTGGCTGTACTTGGGCACAGCGGCGCTTTCAATGACAATGCTAAATGTTTAGGAGGTATAATGTTTAGCATTGTCACATCTTAGTTTAGCATATTAGCAAACAGCTGACTTTTTCTGGTATTTGGTCATAAGCCAATTTACTGAAACAGTCAAATGATGGTGGCGCCTCGAGGCACGCCACTCGCAAAGCTTAACAGACTTCATCCTAAAAATGTATTGGATGTTTGATGTTGAATTGGAACATACTTTGTCTTTTAGGTGTTTTATATGTTTCACTTTTTTGATTTGATATTGTAGTTTATTATTATATTACTGTAAAGTTAGATATACAGTATGTGGATATGTTTTAACATGTCTGCTGTGGGGATGCATGGGCGGGGAATGAAGCGCTGATAGCTCATCGGAACCCTGTAGATAAAAATTTTTTCACATAGTATTGATTACTAGCTCTTCTTGGGGTTTAAAAATTATCAATGCTGTCTTCAAAAAACTAGTGAAAGCCAGTAAGAGAGAAATACTTTTAAAGAAAGGGCATTCTGCAATTCTTAAAAAAAGAAAAAATAGCCCAATCCCCCAAGATGCCAATTTCTTAAAAAAACAGGACAACAACAATGCAAAAGCTTGTCTAATTTAACTAGTGATCAATTGGATCTGCTTCTAGAATCCTGAAGCTTTCCATGAATAATATCTTACGCATATTCATGAAAACTGTATCACGGTTTTACACCCAAGGCTAGATTCAAATCCAGTCTCCAAACATTGAAACCGTGACAGATTGCAGCACTGATACCTGATCTGATACCACATGTACATGCAGGAAGGAGAGAACCACGTGAATGGTCTTTCTGTAGATGTAAGGAGCCGAGGAGCTGTCATTTGCACATCCTCCCATCAAAATCTCATTTAATCTTTCCTGTTTGAGTTTGTTGGTTAAGAGGTTGACCGACAAATGCAATGAATAACATTTGGAGGTGGATATGTCACCTTGGTCAGATATTATGCATCTTGATGCCCTGCAAGATGGAGATGAATAAATAAATCAGGTGTTTTTGAATATGAGTAGGATCTAATCATCGCCTTATTGTCAGGCCTGATTTACAATGCAAACACCAGGAGGCGAGGCCTTGATGGCGTTGAATAAAATGATGGAGGGAAGGGTGGAATGGTAATGAGATTGGGGTGGTGGGGGGGTTGTGGGCGGCTGTGTACACATTTGTGGTCAGACTCAACACAGAAATCAGAAAACACACAGATCACACTGCAAACACCCTACTCACACATAGGAATGGGCATGCATGCAAACACAGGCATGTATATTAATGCACAAATGCCAACATTAAACACACAGAGATAGCAAAGCTTCAACCAGTGTCATCCTGAGGGTAATCTCACACACACCGTCTCTCACCCTAACACACAAGCACGCATACATCACTACACACACACACAAACACACACACTCAAAGGTGCAAGTGTATACACAGCCGGAGG